AAAGAATTCAAAATCCATTGTTTTTTCTGGTAGCGAACCAAAAACTTCTTGAACAATTTCTAAATCTAAGTTGGTGGGGACAGAAGTTGAGGTTGAAGAAGACGAAGGAGCTGGTGTAGAAATAACAGCTTCCTTTGGGGCTTTTGGAGCGACGTATGGAACGAACTTGGGATCACTAATTTTTTGTTGTTTTGCAGCGTCTTTACGCGTCATAACTCTCTCGCGTAGTGAAGAAGGTGGGGTAAAACAAAAGAAACCTTCTTTATACTGGGTTTATTGATTAATTTTTTGTTAAAAACAAACTTTTAAATTTTTATTTTTCTTGTGAAAATTTTGGTTTTGTAAAATAGGGGAGAGTTTTTTTTATTTTTTTTTTTAGCATATCTTTTTTTGTATTAATACTTTAGTACGAAAAAGTGGCATTTATTAATGCAATTTATTTTTTCAATGCACATGCTACAATACTTTAAAAAATATAAGCAGATTAACTATTAATAGCGTGTGAATTACAATTACAAACAACTAAAAGCTAAATGCTATTGATACGATTTCATGTTACAGTAAATACTATCTGTCACATCTTCCGTTTTGAAAAAAAAAGATATTAAGTGCTTTTCTTCTTAGCCTTCTTTGTGGCCTTCTTTGGCGTAATTTCAACTACAGACTTATCCACATTCTCAATTTCAACGGGTTTGTTCACTGACTTAACGGTTTTTAAAACATCACTCTGTAATAATAAAACAAAACCTTATCAGTATCCTACTAGGACCTCTATGAATACTAGTTACTAATTTGTTACCTGAAAATCCATTAGCATTTTCATGTCCATAGCAAATTGTTCTGTCATCAAAGGAGGTTGGGATTTTAATGCACACAAACTCTTCGTAAAGATATACTGAGGGGAGGGGTCGAACCATATATCGTATATGGATTTGTCCATCTTAAAGGAAAAAAAATTATGTAAAGCTAAAAGGAATATGCAAAATAACTTCTTCTTTACCATATTGTGATACTTACTCACGCATTGGATCGTGTATACACGTGCCTTCTTACAAGGGACTGAATCTAATAGTTTGTTTAGGATTCGGGTCGCATTTCGAGCAAGCTTCACGTCATCGCTAATTTCCTTATTTTCGGGAGCCTTTTTACCGTAGGAGAATTCAACAATGCATATAGTCTGATGTTCTTTCTTTCTCATTTTGAGAACTTTTAAAGCACCGTCTATTTTTCGGTTCTTTGTGTCTTTGGTAAGTATCTCAAGCCTGTTTCAAATAAAAAGAAATTAATAAGAAATATAAACTGTTATGAATTAAAATTGAACTTACCATGTCCGTTCTAGAACGTCTTGATGCATTCGGAAGAGCCGGTTTATAACATATATTGTTGTGTCGATCGCATATGTTCTTTCCAAATCAGAATCATTTGACTCAGAATTATTGGGAGCTTCTAGACGTACAGAACTATTTACCACTGTATTAGTAACCTTTTGAAACATGCAGAACTCATATAAACAAAGTATATATTTTCACTACATACAAATGTGTCATTATCTGTTGTGCGATGTCATGTCCTTCATAAAGGAAGGGATCAAAGTGTCCTGCAACAAAAGACTTTCGTACAAGAGTGGGAATGTGGACGCGGTTGCATCTATCTTCTGTAAACTGATTACAGTAACCTTTAAACTCAGGAGTCGGATCCCAAGTTCTTTTTTCTAGCACCTGGTTAAGCCATGATTTCTGTCCTTCATTTAGCTTTGATCGTACATTTTCCTTCACTCCGGGATCTGTCATATCAATTATTCCGTTTAAAAAAATCGAATCCATTATCGTTTTGCATGATTCAAGATCCCTAGATCGGAATTGACTTCGAACTTCAAGAAAGATATTCCGAATTAATGCATCATTCGCGTCCAAATGCTTCACTTCCTGGAAGATTGGAAAGTAATTAGAATATATTTTATGTGCAGACAAAATAAAGGCAAAATTACCTCAGATAGTTCGAAATTTGAAGTATAATAGTGGTCTTCATCATACGAATTCGGTGATACTTCGCCATACGATTCATCATCATTACAATGTTGTGACTCGTCTTCAACGTTATTGTGAACCAGAGGAGTATTCTCATTCTCAGGTGAAGAGATAGATGGTGATTTAGACTTGGCCTAAAAAAAGGATCGTACCAAATTATTTGTTGATATGTTATTGATGACTATTTTTAACTCCTAGGATATTTATTTCAATGATTATCATACCTTCTCTTTGTCCAAATTATTCTCTGATTCAAAAAACGGATTGTTTTTAGCATCCGCAATTGGTTCGCTTAAACCAAATGAATGATAATGTGTTAATAACAGACATCAAAGCGAATGACGAACGTGATTAAGCTTACATGCATTGCCTCTTATGTGGTGAGTTCTGCCGATATCTTCTCTCACGATCATCAGAATCAGATTCGTGTCCTTTATTTTTTGGGAAAGCTGAACCCTAAATGAGAGGGAAAAAATATCAATTTACTGTGAATGCGGGAAAATGTAACCAAATACTTACGCAATTTCGTTTTTGTCCGATTATTGATTCCGAATCCTCATCGTTCGTCTCACTAAACAAGTGTTGTTTAATGACTGTTTGTTGAAATTTAAGATTTTGGGAAAACGTCTCTCTTGTTGTGTTCAATATATGTTGTGTCTAAAAATGAACCTTTCAGTACACTAAGAATGGATGCGATTAAGTGTAAAGTCAACTAACCTGTTCAATATTGATTTGATCCTTCAGATCGTTTAGTCGGATTACATCCAAAATTTCAAATTATTGTTAGGTGCTGTCAAACAAAAAGGTCATTAAGATTTTCGAATATACCAGACAACTTACTTGTCGTAGATATGCTTTTTCCTCACTATACATGTTCTCGGTTTGAAAAATTTGGTGTAATTCCCAGAAGTGGTTTATTGCTTTGGAATTTTTTTCATTCTAAAAATATAGAGAAAAATTAATAAAAAAATATAACCAGCTTGCCTAGAAGACTGACTGTCTGATCACAAACAGAAACGCGGTTCTTTCCCACTGCCAAACAGCATTTGACAGGGTAGTTTGTGAGTATGTTGACTGTGGCTACTAACATACTAATACTATGCTCACCAACAGAAACGCGGTTCTTTCCCACTGCCAAACAGCATTTGACAGGGTAGCTGGTGAAAGAGCCAGGAACGCAGACAATACAGTAAAATAAATAAAATCAAATTTGCCTTAAATGATCTATTCCATTTTTCCACGATTTCAGATGAACTAGACGAGTATTCTATGATGGTATTTAGTTCTTCCTTGTAACGACGGTGCTCTGTTTTTTGATCACACAAATTGCCTTGGCGTAATCGGAATTCTAAAAATTTTAGAAGCGAGGGGCTTTCCACATCATTCCAAAAGTCTATATTCATAAAACAGGTTATACTATATTTCAATGCTATGATAACAAAAGAAAGCGGGTACATTTTGTTTACCGGGGTATTTTAAAACGCTACAGCACTCGGGAAGCAGTTGCATTGAGTCAGATTAGACAGGTTAGACAAGCTAGATGAGAGCTAAAGAAGCTAAGTTATCAGTACAGGGTAAAATCACATACTATTTGTTTATGATCGCGATTTTTAATCATCCTTTTTCATAGCACGCGCGTGACGTCGATCACTTTTGGAAAATGCTCAAGAAGCAAGCGAGATGTATGATGCTATCAAAGAGGGAGGGAGTACGCAGATCCTAGGCAATTTAATGCATCACATTATTTCTTTGCTCTCAGACTTCTTATAAACTTCTATACTAATTGTTTTTTTCCTATTACTGTTGCTAACTACGAGATTTTTACACCAAAGCCCTGTTCATTTCTAGATCGGATTGCTCAGATCGGCAAAATCAATAACCAATAAAATTGTAGCTATAATTGAGTACAATTTTTTGATCGGATCGATT